GTTCATGTCACATGATGGGAGAATAATTAATGTTCCAAAGCCTAAGGCCAAATAGTGGTGGTCAAATCACTTTTGGAGGAAATCAGAAAGGAAAAATAAAAGGAATATGTAAAATAGGTCTATTTGGGTACCTAAAACAAAAATTATTCCTATTGTAGATATCAGGAAAAATAGTATAGTGACAGTACGTAGACAGTGACTGTTCATGTAACATGCTTGGAGAAGAGTCTAAGTTCCAAAATATGAGGCCAAAGAGTGGTGATTAGGCCGCCTTGGAGGAAATTAGAAAGGCAAGATCACAAGAACATGTAAGATAGGTATATCCTCCTCATTATCTATTAATAATGTGCTATTGGTTGATGGACTCAAACACAACCTACTTAACATAAGTCAATTGTGTGATATTGGGTTTGATGTGTCATTCAACAATGATGTGTCCATATTCTGAAATAGTATCGATGCAAATCTTCACCACTAATAGACAAAACTATATATATATATATATATACGTATGTATATATGTATGTATGTGATTCAATTGAGCAAATTAACAAGGAAAAATGTAGGTTGTTTGGTTTCAATTGAAAACCACTAGACATTGCACAAGAAACTTAGACATGCAAGTTTGAGATTAAAATCAAAGCTAAAAAATCATAACCTCGTAAGAGGGCCTCCAAATATTTTTTTACCTCTCCAGTGAGCTTTGCCAAGCATGCCAGAAAGGGAAATAAGTAAAAACTTATTTTGAATCCAAAAATGTTTCTACTTGAAGACCCTTGAAGCTTTTACATATTGACTTGTTTAGTCCAATCAAGATTGCATTTGTTAGTGCTAAGAGATAAAGACTCATCATAGTGGACGACTACAATAGATGGACATGAGTTTTGTTCATAACCCACAAGGATAAGTCTTTCAAGGTTTTTTGTATTTTCTATAAAATAATTCAAATGACAAAGGTATATTCATTGTATACTAGAGGTGACCATGTGATGGCATCCTAGCTTGCATGAACTTGAGATGATGAGCAAGGGAGAGGACGCCTACTCCAAGGATCAAGTCCTCCAAGGGTGATACGTGATTTAGAAAAGGAATAAGGTGGGTTGGACGAAAATGGAGAGTGTGGGTGAAGTGTTTGATGAAAGATAGCTATAGGCATTACCCTAGGCTCTGAACATTAAGTACCAAAAGTAAAATTAAGCCCAAAAGAAAAATAGAGAAATTAGAGATCAATTCTTCATAGTCAAATCTACAATGTATCATTGTATTCGTCTTTGTAGTCTAAGGTGTTCCAAGTGTGTTTTAGGAAGGAAACCTTAGTGAGTGTTGTAACCTTATTTATCCTCTTTGTAATCTATTTTTAACCCTGTTTGAATAAACATGAATGAGGTTAAAATCATCTTAATAATAATAAACCCGCATCATTTTTTATGTGGAAGTATGTGTGACAACTTGGAGCACCTTCCCTTGGCCTCGACAAGTGCCATCATGGATAAAAATAAATCCTTTAAAATAAAAGAAGCTCGGCAGAAAACAAAATAGAGAAATTAGAGATCAATTCTTCATAGTCAAATCTACAATGTATCATTGTATTCGTCTTTGTAGTCTAAGGTGTTCCAAGTGTGTTTTAGGAAGGAAACCTTAGTGAGTGTTGTAACCTTATTTATCCTCTTTGTAAAGAGTAATCCACACACTCAGAATCTTTGTAGGACTAAGGTAGTGAAACCTTAGAGGGTGTAGATCATATATGTATCCTCTCTGTGAGAGTAACCCATACACTCAAACCAAACCTGCCTAGTTGATAGTTGTAAAGCCTGAAGAGGCTAGGTAAAGAATACTTGTAAAGTTCGGAGGGGCTTGTCAAAGAATACTCATTGCGAGCCTAAAGAGGTTGATTAAAGAGTACTAGTGCTAGTGAGTGAAGCTTGCGACCAGGAGTGGTCGAGAATACTTGGCCCAGGAGTGGTTCTGACCTAGAGGGTCCATAATACTCACTGATAGCAAGAAGTGGCTGATAAGAATATACTAGCGTTGGTGAGTGAAGCTGGCGGGCCAGGAGTGGTTAAGAATACTTGGGGAACTAGAAGTGGTTTAAGAATACTAGAGCTGGTGAGTGAAGCTAGCCAACCAAGAATGGTTGAGAATACTCAAAAGGAACAAAGAAAAAGAGAAGCACGCAAAAGTAGAACATACATGTGTCAAAAAAAGTGCGTTACTTTTTTAGAAAAGGACAATGGCTATATTACTGCATAACTAGAAAATGACAAATAATTTCTAGGTCCTAGATAAAGTCAAACACTACTGGCAACAAGACAAGAGAAGAATACACGCAATGTCTTAGAACAAGAAGCAACATTTAATGCAAGACCAAATGCATCAAATGAAAGGATCAAACTAGTTGTGAATGAATATATCTACTTCAACGGACACTTGCAATGGGCAAATCTTACAAGCCTATAAGTATGCAATAACATCAAACCGGAAGAGGCTGGCAAGAAGCAACGAAAGAATAGCTATAGGCATTACCCTAGGCTCTGAACATTAAGTACCAAAAGTAAAATTAAGCCCAAAAGAAAAATAGAGAAATTAGAGATCAATTCTTCATAGTCAAATCTACAATGTATCATTGTATTCGTCTTTGTAGTCTAAGGTGTTCCAAGTGTGTTTTAGGAAGGAAACCTTAGTGAGTGTTGTAACCTTATTTATCCTCTTTGTAAAGAGTAATCCACATGAAGCTCCATAGATGGTCCTCCATCATCATGCAAGTGAATTCAAAAATGAAAGTTTTCACAGGTTCTATGAGGTGAATGAAATTCTCCACAATTTCTTTACAACACGAACACTACAATAAAATGGTGTAATTGAGAGAAATAATAGGTCATTATAAGAAATGGCTTCACCCATGTTCAATGATAATTCCACTACAAGAAAAATTGTTATTATCTACGGAATGTTACCAACAAAATTTTTTTCGTAGATAATGTTTAGTTATCTATGGAATATTATCTATGGAATTTTTTCCGTAGATAATATTTAGTTATCTACAAAATATTACCTACGAAATTTTTTCTGTAGATAATGTTTAATTATCTACAAAATATTACCTATGAAATTTTTTCCACAGATAATGTTTAGTTATCTACGGAATATTACCTACGAAATTTTTTCTGTAGATAATGTTTAGTTATCTATGGAATTTTTCCTGTAGATAACGTTAGTTATCTACGAAATATTACCTATGAAATTTTTTCTGTAGATAATTTTTAGTTACCTATGAAAATTTTTAGTAAATAACATATGGTGGGTGGGTAACGAAAAAATTCAGATTACTTACGAATTTTTCGTAGTTAACCTTGGCGGGATGCAAGGCAAATTTTTTTTTTATGCTCTAAGTGATGTAAAGAATATTTTGTAAAAAATAAATATTATTAAAATTTTTCATTTTTAATTTTTTATTTTATAAATTAATGATAATAAAAAATAACATAGTAATTTTTATAATAATATAAAAAATATTTAATAACATTTAATTTAAAAATAAGTACAATATTTATAATTTATTTAAATATTTATAAATGAATATTACATTAACTCCATTGATTATTTTAATCCTTGTCTTTAATTTTATTATATATAAAAATTATTTACCTAATATATTTTGAATTTATTTTCATGAATCTTATTTTATTTCAATTATTATTTTAAACGTTACACTTAACTATTCAATTCAATTGATATAATCGTGTTAGTTTCATTGTCTTAAAAGCAATTGACTTATAAAAAATTAGTAAGAATTTGTGAAACAATTATAAAACAGAATATTTTTTAGTAATTTAAAAAAATTATTATCTTTTGATTTTAATTTACTCAAAGATGTTCATAGTATTTAACTTATGATATATAAGCCTCCTTTTTATTATAATTACACCTTCTTTGTTTTAAAAGGCTAAAATTGTTGACAGTAGAGCTCAAATCGACACACATATTATGTGGAGAAAATCTTAAGTCTTCCCCCTTAACTAATTGGGCAAACCACCCACTTGTTCTTTTTGATCGGTTTTTAATACATCATAATACGTTTCTTTGCTTTTTTCTCTATATCAAACAGGATACTTGACCATTTTAATGGAGTTTTTCTTATTCGCACATTTATTTTAAAGTTTCGTGTTGAAATAAAATCCAAACACAGATTAACATATTTTATTATCTTTTCATTTTAATTTATTCTAAAATCTTTAGAATATTTAAGTTAACATCATTAAAAAAAACCATTATAAGATTTTAAAATTTATTTTTAATATAATTATTCATAAAAAATACTTTTAACCATCATATTCACCAAAAATATATTTTAAAAATTTAGTATCAGAATATTTATTATGATTTTAGTTATAATTTTTATAATCTTTTGATTTAATATTGAATTTCTTTTGATTTTAAAACATAGTAAATAAAATCTAAAATCTGTATCAATTTATTTGATACAAATATTTAATTAATTTTAATATATAATAAATCTTTTAAAAAAATTAATACCCATCCCCGGTTTAATTATTTTAAAAGTATTTAACATTTCAAAATTAATGTTAAGGATGTCTTATGACTACGAGTACCACATTTCAAAATCTTTGCCCATATGCATTTGAGAGTTAGGGTTAAAAGTTGAGACTCGCCACTCTCCAGTCACACCGCACCACTCCAGCCTCCAAGGGATCAAGGTTGTACCTGCCGTGCCACTCTAGCACCGCACTAGCCAGTCGCATCGTTAACTGTTGTGCTTTCTCCTTCCGAGTAGCTCCCTCGCAATGACTGGTATGTCTCTCTCTCATAAGAATATAAGAAAAAAAATAATTAAATATATTTTTCAATGTACAAAACTTTATAATTTTGATAGTAATTTATAGAAACGAAATCCATTATATATCTACTTTTGCTGTGTTATTGCGATTAGATTTGGGCCATGAATAGTGCAACGACACCGAAAGCCCAGAAACATTGGTATATGGGACGGCCCAAAAGTCTAAACCCTAACAGCCCAGCTCTGACAAACTAAACCCTAATCTTCTTATTCTTCTTCTCGCTCTCGTTTCTTATTCATCAAAACCTTAAACCCTAACCCTCTATCATGGCTTCCGGGAGGGTAAGTACCGAGATGATGGCGAAATCCGTCGACGCTCTCCTGAAATGGCGTCGCTCCCAATCGGAGACTCAAAAACCGAAGCTATTCGACGAGGACGAGGAATTCATGTACCTAATCCTACGATGAAGAAGATTCCGGCGAAGTCTCGCATGAACCCTCACAAGGTCCCTCTCCCGCACTCGCTAATCTCTCCGCTCTCGGAGCAGTGCCTGATCCTCGACGACAAGCCCAACAAGGCCCGCGTGACAAAGGCCCAGGTCCAGGCAAAGATCCAGGCCGACTCCATCCCCGTCGCGAAGGTCCTTAAGCTCTCGAAGCTCGCCTCCGATTATCGCCCCTTCGAGGCGAAGCGCAAGCTCTGCGACTCCTACGACCTCTTCTTCGCCGAGAAAATCATTGTTCCATTGCTTCCGCGACGTCAAGAATGACGTATACAACCGCTTGCTCGAAACCGGCCACGACCAAGCCATTTCTAATCGCGAGTTTCGCGAACACGAGGTTCCGTTATTTCACTCTTTTCTTACTATTTTTGGATTCGACTTGTTGAACGAAGCGTGTAATAGTCTCTTGCTGTTGTTTTAGTTACGGACTCGATGTTAATATCGACAGAGCTAAAGACGTTATGTTGCATCCAACGCTTCTTGCTTTGCCAAGGGACCCTGCAGACAAGCGTCCCGTCTACTATATACGCTTCCTCGAGGTATTTCTCTAGTTCCTTTTTTATTGCTATTTTGAATTTGAACTAGTTAGGATCATCCATGATTGGTTTAATTGGATCTTCTTCGAGCAACTTTCCATGATTCATATTTATTTATGTAGCTTTCAAATAAGACTTTAATTGTAATGTATGGTTTGTGTAGAGATTTTTATAATTAGTTAATAGACTTCTCCCGAAACATTTTCAGAAAAAAGGAAATAAGAAGGTAAAAAATAAGTTTCTTTTGAAGTTAAAGCTAGCTTATGTATACGCTAGAATAAGCTTTTGGAGAAGCATAGTTCATGTGTAACCTAATTTTAACTTATTGGAGATGCATAGTTCACATTCACCTTATTTTCATCTTCTATAATTGCTTATTGACACGTCTAACCAATTAGGGACAATGTCAACCAATCAGAAATCATCTTCAACATGACTTTTTTAAAAGTCTGGATATAGTTACAACTTGACCTGAGCGTGGAGTAACAAGATTGGATAATGTACAGAATCATGTAAATCTAACATAGTCTGACTAGATAAAACTTGGATGTTGTTTTTTAGGTGCTTGTGGTGCTTTTCCATAATCAAAATTGAAGCTTTACCTTCACAAATGAAGCAGTAAAGGTTGGCTTGGGTTAGTGAGTTGAAACTTCAATTTAATTAGAGAACAACACCAACACCTAAAGAATAACACCTAAGTTTTGCAATGAATCCTAAAATCAATGATACTGTTATGCCAACATCTTATTTTGAACATACAACCAATAAATTTAACCTTTTGGGTGATTTGTTTGTATACTTACAGTTTCAATGTTTGTTGCTTATGGTAGCACTGAAGAAGAATTACATATGTTGTTGATTTTGAAATTTTAGATTTTTGTGAATATCAAATACCTATCCAAAATATAAATGTTATTAGATTACTTTAACTATCTTTGCTTCTTAATTACAAGAATTTCTTGCAAGGGTTTCACTTTCTCTCTTGTAACTTGTACATTTTATATTCAGTTGAACACTCAAGTGCTTAAGTTGGTAAATGGTAATTATTTGTAATCCTTAGTATGTACTATGTACCGTCTGTTGATTGTTTTCTTTCTTGGTCTTCATCTACATCTATTTAGTAGGCTATCTTGCATATAACAATTTCTTCTTGATGGGACCTTGTAGACACTCAATTTCATCCGGGAGCATACAAATAAGGAAATAGACTTCTGTTATGAAGGGAATGAACTTCTAAAACATGCAAACAACAGGACAGGACATTAGAAGGCCCAAAAGCCCAAACAAGCTAGAATGGACTATTGCAAAACCAGAACGAGCTGTTCCCAATTCCGAACAGGCCGTTCCAAGTTCCTAAAAAGGCCTAAAACCCTAGTTTGGAATGGGTTGTTCCTCAATTGGAACGGGCTGTTCCAAACTCCTCAAAAAAGGGCTAAAACCTTAACTGGAACGGGCCGTTCCTAAATTGGAACGGGCTGTTCCAAGTTATTAAAATGACCTACAAACTTTTGTTTGGAACGGCCGTTCCAGTCTAGGCAATTATGTGTTAACCTCACCTCTGGAATGGGCCGTTCTAGTTTCAGAACGGGCCGTTCCAGTCACAAGATTAACACACAACGTTTGAATCCAGAACGGGTCGTTCCAGTTTTGGAACGAGCCGTTCTGGAAACCCTTCTGATGTCTATAAATAAACAACTTGGGCATAGTTCTCGGGGCTCCAAATTTTATCTAGACTCCTTAGAGCACGAAATTTCTCTCTTTTTCTCTCTCTCTTTGATACATTGTAATGTAAAAGGTTGCCATAAAGCACCTAAAATCTTCCTATTTTGAAGATTCAATACAACTCATTCAAGAGGTATTTCAGTTAATCTCTTTCTCTCTTTTTTATTTCTTATTTATAATCAATATTGTTATAATAAAAATAATCATGTATACATTTTAGGATTAATTGTATAATTTAAATTTCAAGCATGTAAATAGTTATTAATAAAAGGGGATTTAATATTTCTATTATTATCATTTATAATGCTAACTTCATTATAGGATACCAATTAAGGGTGTTGTAGGGGTGCTTAATACCTTCCTACACGTAACCGACCCCCGAACCCAATTCTGGTTATCAAGGCCATTATTGGACTTTTTAAAAACCTTTTCTTTTTCCAATGTTTTGAGTAAAACATTGGTGACGACTCCATAAACCTATTTTCAAAACCATTAATTAAGGATTAGTCTGGTGTCCGGTCATTCCTTAATTGATGAGATTTTCAAAAGGATGTCTAAACTATTAGTCGCGAGATCGAAAGTTTTCGTGTTGCGACAGATGGTGACTTCAATGGGGACGTTATAAGAGGGTCAGGTCTATAACATATGATGAAATTAGCATTATAAAAAATAATAATTTAAATATTTTTCCCCTTTTATTTTGTTTGTTTTATTTGCTTGGCTTTCATATCTGTTTGCCTGTTTAAATTCAGCACTTGTTTGAAATAAAAATTGTACAAAACCTTTGCGCACAACAGTTTCCCCTACACCCGGGGGCATGAGGGTCTTAAACATAAGGAGTGGTTGACGTACGACCGGCCTAAGTTTGGCCTTGGAGCCTGTGAGCCTTGTCGGAAATCACACTTAAGGTGATAACCGGTTATTCTAACCCGAAATACTACGACAGACCTTAGAGTTTGCCAGGTGACGGCGACAGAGATACTAGGTCCTTATAATGGGGCCACCTTGGGGGCCTTAAGACCATTGAGATTATAACTGTCCTATACAACACACTTTTCTTACAAGGACCATAGACTAAGGATTTGAATGTGACTGTTCGCGGGTGTACATCTGCATGAGCATACGTTTGTTTCATTTGTCATATCATTTTCCAAATGAATGACATTAAGAGGGCAATAACTAAAAAAAAAAAAAAGAGAATGTCTTTCCATGTGTTCTATTTTTCCTTTCGCATCATAAATCTTAGAAGGAAACATGATAAAAGTAGGTAGACAAACCCCAATTCATTTCTTTTAGGATGATAAACCATTTTTCATAGATATGGAAGTTATAGATAGTAGCATGCATGGACCGTTGAGGAAGGTGAACATTCCAAATTCTGCAATGCCTCGAGTAAATGAGATATGTGCCTCGATGCCAAAAGAAGCCAAAACAGAATTTGAAAAACGTTATGACAGAATCCTCGACTTGTTTAGAATACCTGTCGACCCTGCTTTCATGAGAGCTTTGATACACTTTTGAGAGCTAGAGTTCCGTTGCTTTTGATTCCCACACTTTGATATAGTGCCCACTATAGAGGAGTATGACCTAATGACTAAGTGGCCCAAGTTGGGAGGAGTTTTCTTTGTTTAAGAAGGGCGTATATCCTCCGACAAGGTTGCTGAATTAATTGGATTACCCTCTCACTTGTCCATTCTAGAAGGCAATGGAAGCTTTCCATTTTGGAAGAACATCTTTCCTTTCTAGGTCACCAAAAGAATTGGATAACCTTCAACAAGATCGTAGCCTTAATCTTGTTTAGGATAATCCTCTTCCCCTTTCATGAGAGGGTGGTAGATCATGTCGCAATCGACGCCTTCCTTGCTTGGGACGCCCACTCCAACAGCCCTATACCTGCCATCCTTGCTGATACCTTGCTCAAAATCAACCTTTGCCGTCAAAATTCAAGAAAACAGATGAGATGCTGCAATCCACTCCTTTATGTGTGGCCATACACTCATTTCTTCGCCAAAAACCATATGGGAAAATTTCCTGACCCATTAAGAAGTTTCCCTAGGATTCCATCATCAAGGAAGTATGCCATGGCGTGGAAAGCTGAAATGGTGTCAACTTGGGTTTATCGAGCTCACTATCTCCAAAATAAAGTGGCCTCTTCTAAGCCTCTCGTATGGTGTCAACTTGCGATTGCTGCCTTGAGGTGTATAGGAAGCAAATGTCGCCGAAGTCTTCTTGATTTAGTAGAGTTTGTGTCCTTCCAAGTTGTCTTAACACTAGCTTTGGAGAGTAGGCTATGCATCCTCTTACACCCATCAAAGGTAGGTTATAGAACTGGCCACACCGTACTAACACGTGACTCGATCTAAACCAGGGGCACATCCATGTGAAAGTGCCTTCAGTGTATCCCTCCATTTCAGCTTTCCACGCCATGGCGTACTTCCTCGATGATGGAATCCTAGGGAAACTTCTTAATGGGTCAGGAAATTTTCCCATATGGTTCTTGGCGAAGAAATGAGTGTACGCCCACACATAAAGGAGTGGATTGCAGTATCTCATCTATTTTCTTGATTTTTGACAGTAGAGGTTGATTGCGAGCAAGGTATCAGCGAGGATAGCAGGTACAAGGCTGTTGAAGTGGGCGTCCCAAGCAAGGAAGGCGTCGATTGCAGCATGAGCTACCACCCTCTCATGAAAGGGGAAGAGGATTATCCCAAACAAGATTAAGGCTACGGTCTTGTTGAAGGTTATCCAATTCTTTTGGTGACCCAGAAGGGAAAAATGTTCTTCCAAAATGGAAAGCTTCCATCCTTTGACTACTCCATTGCCTTCTAGAATGGACAAGTGAGAGGGTAATCCAATTAATTCAGCCACCTTGTCGGAGGATATACGCCCTTCTATAATGATAACTTCATCATAGGGTATCGATTAAGGACGTTGTAGGGGTGCTTAATACCTTCCCTACATGTAACCGACCCCTGAACCCAATTTCAAGGCCATTATTGGACTTTTTAAAAACCATTTCTTTTTCCAATATTTTGAGTAAAACATTGGTGGCGACTCCATAAACCTATTTTCAAAACCATTAATTAAGGATTAGTCTGGTGTCCGAGCATTCCTTAATTGATGAGATTTTCAAAAGGATGTCTAAACCATTAGTCGCGAGATCGAAAATTTTCGGGTTGTGACAGACCTTTGCTGGTTTTCTCTCTAAATCATCCATTTTTTCTCTCTTTCTCCTAATATCCGTAGATAAGTTATCTATGGAAATATCCGTAGATAACCTCACCCGTTGATAAATTTCGTAGGTAAGTCTTTTAAATCTTATTCGTAGATAAAATTCGTAGATAACGTTACCTACGGATATTTTTCGTAGATAATTAACACTTATCTACGAATTTTCATGCTTATCTACAGATTTCTTCCGTAGATAATCTTGATTTTTCTTGTAGTGTTCAACCCAAAGAACTTTTGGACAGAAGTCATGAATACAATCTTTTATTTACAAAACAAAATGCATATAAGAATGATTTTGGGCAAGACTCCTGGTGAATTATGCAAAGGCTGCAAAACCAATATATCATTTTTCCATCCATTTGAATGTCAATTTTTCATTTTGAACACTAAGGATAAGATGGAAATCTTTGATTCTAAGTTTGATGTTGGAACATTGTTAGGCTATTTAGAAACATTCAAGACATCTGAAGTTTATTATTCTAGAACCTTAGTCATAGAAGAAGCCATTCATGTGAGGTTTAATGGCAATATGCCTGACAAGGAATTATTAGAGCTAAGAGAAGCTTTTCATGTTTAGCAAATTAATGATTCAAGGAAAACATCATTGTCCAACAAGACAGTGAATGATTCAGTGGACGAAGGAAAACTTGAGACTTCTAGAGGCAACTAGCTAGTAAATGAAGATGCATCACCTAGACAATCAAGTAATTGATGATGAAAAGGACATAAAGGACTAGAGGATCCTTCAAAAAGCAAGCTCACACAACCCTAATCTCTCAAGTAGAATATTGCGTCTAAAATACTCATAAAGGTTAATGTATGATGGAGGCCCATCAAAGGAGATCACACACTTGAAGACCGTTGGGCCTTTAACTAGGTCCATGGTTAAGAGGCTAGAGGAGACTTCTACAGAGGAGGTGCTTCATAGACCTATGCTATTCATGAGCATTAAGAATAATTCCTCTTATTAGTCCCTAAGCTTCCATTGTAAATACATCATAAATATTTATACATAGTAGTACTTGTATAGGTGTATTTTGCCTTTGTATTTGTAAGGCACCCTTTTCCTTTTCTTATAGGTCATCCTTTTAAGATTCTAGGGTATGTTGTTTGGAGACTTTTGCTACATTTAACCTTGTATTAAGGGTCATTGATTTTCATATTTTTAGTAGTAGAAGTGAGGTGACAAATAGTAAAGTGTGTAGGTGAAGCTAGCAATTGGGCCTATAGTGGGCCCTGGCTAATTTTTACATATTAGTCTTGTTTTCCTCCATTGAATCCAAGGAATTGATTTAGCTAGGTCTCACCCTCATTAGGTGAACCTAGCTAAACCAATTCCAACATTTTTGGATTGGATTAAGTGAAGGAAAACAAGCTTGGCCGCCTAAGCTCATTATGGCCAGATTCCTTACCTTAGCTTCTCCCACAAACTTGGTTAGCTTCTGTTACAAGCTTCTAGCTTGGCTTGCTCCACAACCTTCAAAGCTAAGCTTGTTCCACAAGCTTCCAAGTGACTAGGAAGGTTAACTTGAGTGCAAGAAGGCTAACCATAGTTCTCCTTGAACCATAGTTAGACTAGCTTGCACCATAAGCCACCTCTTCCCTAAGTCTTTTCTTAAACTTTGTAAACACTTTTGATTCATTTATGAGAGATTTCGGATTTGACTTTTGAACTTTCACTCTTCTAAAAGTCTTAAACCTCTTTGATATTCATCCAATTCTCTTATCCTCTTCATACAAGAGTGTGGTGAGAATTGAAGTGACTCATCTGCTTCCAAGGAGTGGCGCCTCTTGAAGAGTGTTCTTCACCTTCTTTGATGAAATCTAAGGTCTCATCCACCATTGCAGGCTTTGA